AAAAAAGTATAAAAGTTAGGGTCTAGGCTAACTCCTTAATATACTTTAGGGGGTCTGGTCTTGTCCATAACAAATAGAGCTAAGCTGTGCAGTCTTGCCACATCCAGTTGGGAACAATGGTGGGCAATTAAGCAACTCACTGCAGGAGGAGGGACCACAAATATCCCCCATCCTCAATGATGGAAGAATCCGACACAACAGTGCAAAAGATAAAGCTGAAGCATTCGCAGCAATCTTTAGCCAGAACTGCCGAGTGAATGATTCATTGTGGCCACCTCCAGTGATTTTAACATTACAGATACCCAATTTTCAGACAATTTGACTTACTCCATGTGATATCAAGAAAGTTAAAGACACTAGATACTGCAAAGCCTGTGGGTGCTGACAACATTCTGGCAATAACACTGAAGACTTGAGCTCCAGAACTTGCCATTCCTCTTGCCAAGCTCTTCCAGTTCAGTTATAATGCTGGCATCTACCCGACAATGTGGAAACTATAGTGTCCTAGGCCCAACCATCTTAACAACTTCATCAATAATCTTCCATCCATCATAACATCAGAAGTTGGGACATTCACTGATGATTGTGCAATGTTCAGCACCATTCACAAGTCCTCAGATACTGAAGCAGTCCAGTTCAAATGCAACAAGATCTGGACAATATCCAGGCTTGGGCTGACAAGTAGGAAGTAACATTCGTGCTACACAATGCCAGGCTATGACCATCACCAATAAGAAACAATACTGCAGCGAGTAACTCATATCCTTTTGTCCCAAAGCCTGTCCATCATCTACAGGGCACGAGTTGGGAGTGTAATGGAATACCTCCCACTTGCCTGGATGGGTGCAGGTCCAAGAACATTCAAGAATCTTGACCACTATCTAGGACAAAGCAGTGTGCTTGACTAGCACCACTTCCTCAAACATCTGCTCCCTTCACCACTGATGCTCAGTAGCAGCAGTGTGTACTATCTACAAGATGCACTGCAGAAATTCACCAAAGATCCTCAGACAGCACCATCCAACCCCATGACCACCTCCATCTAGAAGGAGAAGGGCAGCAGATACATGGGAACACCACTACTTCCAAGAACCCTCCAAACCACTCACCATCCTGACTTGAAAATGTATCGCCGTTCCTTCACTGTCACTGGGTCAAAATCCTGGAATTCCCTCCCTAATGGCATTGTGGGTCAACCCACAGCACGTGGACTGTAGCAGTTCAAGAAGGCAACTCTTGTTACCACCTTCTCAAGGGCACCTGGGGACAGGTAATAAATGTTGTCCAGCCAGCGACACTTACATCTGATGAATGAATAAAAAAATGTAGCCTTATATGCAGTACCTTTACCAAACACAATTTGGAAATCTAAATATATTATCTACTGGTTTCCCTTTATCTATCCAGTGTGATACCTCCTCAAAGAAGTATAAGTAATTTGTCAGGCATAATTTCCTCTTCATGAAGTCATGTTCTAGTGTTACCTCCTTTATAATGGACTGCAACATTTCCCCAACAATAGACGCTAGCTAGCCAGCCTGTGGTTAGTGTTTTTTTAGTTCTCCTTGGCTGGTAAGAATACAACCAATGCATCTACTATTCAGTATCTAATCCTAGATGTGTCCCATCAGGTCCAGGGGACTTATAGGAATTTGGCTGTATTCATTTTCCTCTTGGTGAACTAAATTCTTCTCAAAGAATCAATGGTTACTGTAGCCATTTATATTCTTTATCCTAGAGTAAGTTATACATATCAAATCATAGAATTATTATGGTGCCAAAGGAGGCTCTTTGGCCCTTCATTCCTTCACTGGTTCTGTTACATAGTGCAAATCTCCTACTTTTTCCCTAATACCTAAATCAGACAGAGGATTGAATCTTACCATATTTTGGCAAGCTATAATTTTTGTTGAGTTTCATGGAGAGTGTCTCTCAGTGAGGTCAAATGATTTTATGCATGCTATCATCTCAAACTCGCTTTGTTAACTATGTACCATGCCCAGATGGCACTCCTAACATAGATAACAATTTAAGAACCAGGAGCAGGAATAGACAAGTCAGCCTCTCAAGAGTGCTCTGCCATTTAATACAACCATGGCTGATCTCATTTCGACTTTAATTCCACTTTCCTGCCTGCTCCCATAACTCTTGAACCTGTTACTAATCAAAAATCTATCTATCTCGCCTCATATCCAATGCTAGGTCGATTGTCCCACTGGCCGTAGCTGAACATATTTGCCATACTAGAGATCGCTTTTAAAGGGCATCGAGAATCTACTTAAGCATTATCAGTCTGCAGCTGCCATGCATGGTTCATTGCATTTTCTCCCACACATGGTCGATAAGGGGAAATTGACACTCTATTTTGCAGTCAGGGCCTGAAAGTCCTGGTGGACAGGATAGTGCAGAAGAGCTAGGAGGTAAATTACAAAGGACCTCAAAGTTGGAATTTTAAGATTACCCCCATTGCCACATGCCACCGAGAACAGAATAGGAGAATAGATTGGATTAATGCAAGGCTGGAGTGATGCAGGAAGAGGGATTTAGATGCCTGAATCACTGGCATATGCAGGTTAAAATGGGGCTACTACAAGCTGTTCAGTTGCACCCTCGCTAGATTGGGACCAGTGTCCTCACATGGGTATTCACTAATGTGATTTGGGATGGTTTGAGTGGCATGGGGATAAGAACAAGGACAGACAGGGAAAGAGGGAAACAAAGATTGAAACTACAAGTGGAAAACATTGAAAATGAAACACAGAGAAAATGGGGCAAGCAAAAATAGGTCTGTTGTACAAAACAAGAATAAAAATATTAAATATATACATCTAAATGTACTGTATCTGAGTGCATAGAGCATTCCCAATTTGGTAGACTGATTAACAGTGCAAACAGTTGGTAAAACTATGTGGTGGAAGACAAATATGATTGCGTTAAAGACCCATGGTTGTAGCGTGACCAAGTCTGGGTGCTGAATAACTGAGGGTATTCAATATTTAGGAAGGACTGGCAAAAAAGAAAAGACATTGTTAGTAAAGGAAGAAATCAGTCCAATAATGGGAAAGGGAATTGGCTTAGAAACTTAGATGTAGAATCAGTCTGGGGGTGAAAATAAGACTTGTTATGACACAGAGACAGACAGCCGATCCAAATCAGCTTTCTATCACAACACAGAAAAATTAAAACCTTTAAAGACCTTCAAGATTGAACCCAGTGGTTCCTGACCAGTCCCAGGCTGTACGAATGATCAATTCCAGACACCAGTTTGTATATTAAACAAAAGGCATAGCAATTTACTAATAATATAGTAACTTTAGCAGACTAAAATTAAACAACAAACACAGTTAAGGGATAAATAAAAGAATAAAACTGGCCAGATTACTTAAATGGTTTTCATGGTGCATTGTTCCATGGGCATTGATGATGGTTTCTTGGTTGATTTTCTGAAGATTCTGATCTCGGTCACCTTTATAGTTCACTCAGATAAAGGCAGTAATACCTACTACTTAGTTTTCTATTCTGTGAGCTTCGACAAGGGAGGTTGGGCAGAGAGCTTTCAGATCATCAAGCTTTAGCATCAACAGCCAGATTCCTTTTCATTGAAAATTCATCCCAAACCCAATTTCTGACCACTCCCTGACTGACTGACTGCCTTCTCAACAAAGTCCTAGTTTTTTTATTTATTCATTGGATGAAGACATTGCCAGCTTGGCCAGCATCCCAGAGGGCAGGTAAGAGCCAACCCTATTGCTGTGAGTCTGGAGTCATATGTAGGCAAGACCAGGTAAGGATGGTTTCCTTCCCTAAAGGGCATTAGTGAACCAGACTTTTTCCCCCCAAAAACTACAATGGATTCATGGTTATCATTAGATTCTGAATTCCAGATTTTTATTGAATTCAAATTTCACTGTCTGCTGTAGCAGGATTCAAACTCGGGTCCCCAGTACATACTGTGGGCTGTGGATTAATAGTCCAGCTATAATACCACTAGGCCATCGCCTCTCCTTAGTTACTTCTCAGCATCTGCCATCTGCTTGAGAATAAGGTCTTTTCCAGACTTGCAACCAATTCCCAGGTACTGATCTCATTACTAACTAACTTCTGCTGTGTGTTTAGACATAATGCTGTTCCCAGGTGATAAAATGTCTACAGAATCTTGACTAGTATCCAACCTGCAATTAACTTCCAGGCCTAGCCTAATGAATGAACAAAAGCTTAATGATCTGTTTTTCTTTTACCAACAAGCTGTTACCCACAGTCCAAAAGTCACCTTTAGCTTATAATTCTACAGCTCCAAACCAAAATTGATAAAAGAATAAAGTAAAAAGTAATGAAAAATTCCATAAGGGTTCCAACATGCCTCCACCCTCAAAACATAAAACCCATTTTCTTTTTAAAAATTAATTTCATGACAAGATTAGTAGCACTGATATGACAAACAAAACACTAAGCTCAAAACTGTTCATTCTTCCTCGCACCAAATTCTTAATCACTATTCAACTTTTTTGGTCACACTCTCATATGTACAACAGTTTACATTCGGAATAATGCATCAGCAATTGCATTTTCTTTCCGGGAAAAATGTACAATTTTTATGCTAAATGGCTACTGATCTAAGCTCCATCTTAACAACTTTGGAGTCTTATTTTTAATTTATCAATGAAATTTTATGGATGATGAGCAGCATTATTTTCATAGACCTTGAAGTGTTGAAGAGCTGCTGGACTGCAAGTGCCTCTTGTTCTAACATTGCTCGTAGGATAAGATGCTTCAGGTTAGCAAAGCATTTTGGAGCCTGCAGAGTACTGGAATAGTGAAAATAAGGAACACACCCTTTAATAGTATGTGGTTTCTTATGTGTGCAGCACTTCATGAAATATCTCTTTCAGGCATGTATACATATCCATTTCCTTTCTCAGGGCAATAATATTGTGAATTCAAAGGTTTGGGTGTTGGACCTGAGTACAATGCCCATGATCATGCATTATCATCTTCTTGAGTTGAAAATGTACAACTATTATCTCTTTTAGCCCTGCCTGTGCACTTCAAAAAAGAGCTTCAGAATATGGAAGCTGAGGAGGGAGATACTGCCTCACTTCGCTGTGAACTCTCTAAGGCAGATGCCCCAGTGAAGTGGAGAAAAGAATCTATTTTACTTCATCCAAGTGACAAACATGAAATGAAGCAAGAAGGTTCCAGTGTGGAATTGCTTATTCATAATTTAAAGCTAGATGACTCAGGAGAATATACTTGTGATTCTGGTGACAAGAAGACAAAGAGCTGCTTAAAAGTGAAGGGTAGGGTAATCTACTTCTCAACTATTAGTGAATTTTTTACCTTTTGTAAACAATAAAAAACATTCCTATGCAACATGAAGATTAATTATATAAATATACACTTGGAAAGAGTAACTCCTGATTTTTCTCATTTTGTTGATGCTACAGGAAGCCTGCAGGGTGAATGGAAAATTTCACTGAGCCTCTAATAAGTAGTCTTTTAATTAATTTAATAAACTATCCAGTGCTTGTGGGTGTGTGATCATTTCACTTCTGATCTGAGTTTTTACAGTTAGGGTGCTGCTGGCATACCAACATGCTGGTTGGCAGCATGAAGTGATGCATTTGATCACCTTATATCCAGTTCCATATTGTGGTGAAATTGCTGCACTTTATGTAATACTTAAGTTAGTATAACAGATGTCCAGCTTCTTTTGATCAAGACAAAAGGAAAAGGTGAATTTCCTATAAAAATCCTGTCAAGTGATATATTTGTGACTATTTTGGTAATCTTGATTTGAATTGTCACTTATTTAATAAAGAGACTCTGATTCATTATGATTAATTAAAGAAGTACAAGTAAGTGAGGAGAGGGAGTTGCCCTTTTGATAAGGAAGGACATGACAACAGTACTTAGAGAGGATATTATTAAGGGGTCATCAAATGAGGTCATATGATTAGAACTTAGAAACAAGAAGGGAATGGTCACTCTGTTGGGACTGTATTATAGACCCCAAATAGCCAGCGGGTACTAGAGGAGCAGACATGTAGAGAAATCTGTGGGAATAATAGAGTGGTATTGGTTGGAGATTTTAATTCCCCTGTATCGACTGGGCCGCCCAGAGTGTAAAAGGCCCGGATGGGTTGGAATTTGTCACGTGTGTCCAAGAACATTTCCTAAATCAATATGTAGAAGGCCCTACTTGGGACACTGCAAAACTAGACCTCCTGTTAGCAAACAAGGTCGGGCAAGTGACTGAAGTGTCAGTCGGAGAGCACTTTGGGTCCAGTGACCATAACTCTCTTAGTTTTGACATAGTTATGGAAAAAGATAGGACAGGTCCACAGGTTAAGGTGCTAAACTGGAGCAGGGCCAATTTTGGGGTCATTAGGCAGGATCTAGCAGAGGTCGATTGGGTGAGTCTGTTTGAAGGAAAAGGAACGACTGGCAAATGGGAGGCTTTTAAAAGTGTGATATCAAGAATTGAGGGACAGTCTGTCCCTGTTAGGATGAAGGGAAAAGCTGGCAGGGTTAGGGATCCCTGGCTGATGAGGGATATTGAGGCCCTGGTCAGGAAAAAGAAG